ACGTTGAAAAGTTCAATCTTCACGTTTCCGAGCAACTTGAGAACCTTGCCCACTATGGGGAGGAGTCCAAGGATGTACTGATCCACCTGTTTGAAGGGTACAAGGCAGCATCTGATAAGTCATTTGTGTCATACATTGAGAGAAAAGAAGAAAAAGATGAGGACAACTCTGAGCCAACCAACGAACCCAGGCTCATGCAAGACGCTGAAAACTATTACAAGAATCGTGTTTGGGACCAAACCTGGAATCGCCCTGATGAAAATCAACAAGCTATCCTCTCATTGAAGGCCGAGTTCAAGCAAATCAAAAACTCCAAGAAGCCTGGAAGCGGAAAGAAAAAGGACAGTGACAAGAAGTCCGGAGGTGGTAAGAATAAAGGCAAGGGCAAGAACAACAATAAGCAAAAATCTTCGAACGTACCTGCATGGAAGACCACTGCACCAAAAGCAGAAGACAAACTTAAAGCAAAGTATGTCGATGGTGACTCCAAGCCATGGTATTGGTGCGAAGCTCTCAAGAAATACTGCCGCCACACTCCGGATCAATGCAACCAAGACCAAAACAAAGACAACAAAAAGAACAAGATCAAGCTCAGAGCCGCCATGGCTGAGAATTACGCCCCGTCCGACTCTGATACCGATGAAGAATGAGAGCTCCTCGAGAGCACTCAAGGGTGGATTGTTGTTTGGCCGTGGCTTTGGTGGGGTCTGCTGTCTCAGTGGATCGCTGGTTGGTGGAAACGCCTCCCGCTCTACCTCCTTGCCACAGCTGTAACACTTCGTGTTGTTCTTTTTGGATGGCCCCGTGATGACTCTGTGCCATACTATGTTCCCAAATCTCAAAGGTGGACACGGTATGCATGGATGAGAAAATGGGTCAGATACAGGCGGGTCCAACTAGCCAAGCAGTTTGGACTCACAGGAAGAAAATGGAATAAAGAGGTTAGGGAACGTATCTCCAAAAACTTACGTACCCGAATTAAGCTCTACCGACAGCTCCGGACACGCAAGTCTAGCTATCAGTGGATGTCTTACAAGTGGATGTCTCGCATCCAACGCTCTCAAATCCCACGAGATATTCAACGAGCGCTCATTGCCAACTCAGTATTGGCACACCGCACTCAGTCAGAGGGAGGGACGCACCATCCAGCTCGCTTCGACACCGATTCACTGCCAATCGGCATCGACAACCGCTGCTCCTTCTGCATCTCCGACAAGGAATACCACTTCGAAGATCTGCGAAAAACACAGCACGTCATCAAGGGTTTTGGAAATCGAAAGACCATTGATGTCATGGCTGGAACACTGGTTTGGAAATGGTTAGATGATGACGGAAAGGAACACACATTCCGAATCCCAAATTCATTCTACGTACCTTCAGGCAAGATGAGATTGCTGAGCCCGCAGCATATCTCCCAAGTTCTCAAGAAACGAGGCCTTGGACAGTTCTTTGAAACAACAGAAGGCAAGCGCTGTACACTGCAATGGGGAGACAAGTGTCAGTATCGAAAAACCATTGCAGTTGACCCAAAAACAAATGTTTTTACCTTCAATTTGGCACCAGGATATGACAACTTCTACGCCTATTGTGCCCAATGTGCCGAAGCCAACCAGGACGACGACCTCTTTGAAGAGGACCTTGAAGCACCTACAGCAATGGAGGCAACGATGGTCAGTGATGACGAGCATGACAATGACAAAATCACGACACCAACTTCCCATCGAGAGGGAGAATCTGAACCATCGGAAGATGATCCCAAACCTCCAATGCGTGAAACACCAATGACTTTCGACCTTGATATGGACAAGAGCAAATGTTCAGCACCAATACACATTGAGGACAATGAGGAGGACACTCAAAAACAAAATCATGCAGCTGAGTTCCTCAAGTACCACCACAAGTTCAATCACTGTTCACCAGCCAAGATCCAAGCAATGGCAAAGAAAGGTGAGCTCCCAAAATACTTGGCAACATGCGACGTACCTGTATGCAGTGCTTGCCAATTTGGAAAGGCAACTAGAAGGCCGTGGCGCACCAAGAACAAGAAGAATGGTCGCAAAGCAAAAACTGCAACAAGACCAGAACAAGTGGTTAGTGTTGACATGATGGAAGCAGGAGTACCAGGTTTGATCCCACAAACATCTGGATTTCTTACCAAAGAAAGGTACAGAGTTGCAACCGTTTATGTTGACCAATACTCCAACTTCAGCTATGTGCACTTCCAGAAGAGCACAACCGTTGACGAGACACTGGTAGGCAAGGAAGCATTTGAGCGACTTGCTGCAACCTACGGGATCCAAGTCCAACACTACCATGCAGACAACGGAACGTTTGCCGCCAAGGGGTGGATTGATGCGTGTTACCAGAAGAAGCAGTCCATAAGCTTTGCAGGGGTCAATGCACATCATCAGAACGGAAGAACTGAAGCAAGGATCAAGCATATCCACGACATGGCACGTACCTCGTTGATTCATGCGACAAAGAGATGGCCCGAGGCGATCAATGCTCATCTATGGCCCTTTGCAGTCCGCATGGCAAATCTCTTGATCAATGCAACACCATGGTTAGCAGATCTGAAGAAGCGCTCCCCAGAAGAGATGTTTTCAGGTTCCAAAGTGGATAATAATCCAAAGCATTGGCACCACTTTGGATGCCCTGTGTTTGTCTTGGACAAGAATATGCAGCAAGGCAGAAGACCTGCAGGAGGCAAATGGATGCCAAGGACCCAGGTCGGCATTTATTTGGGTCCATCACCGCAACACTCAAGAAGTATTGCACTGGTTCTCAACCTCACGACAGGAAGAGTAGGACCAGAATTCCATGTATACATGGACTCCAAATTCCACTCCGTGAAAAACTCCACCCGCCAAGAGAGACCCGAAGTCAAATGGATGGAAGCGGCCTACTTCGTGGATGGACAGAAGAAGGGTGAGAAAAGAGGAGGAACTGATCGCAATGGTCAGAGGGAGGCAGCCCAGGCTGACACTCCAACGGTTCCACCGCAAGTCGGATTCAACTTACCTATTGAAGAAACAAGGAACCGGTCGA